ACAGACAGGCAGAGAGACAGAGAGACAGAGACAGACACAAACACATACAAACACGGGGGGTGGGGGAGGGAGAAAGAGAGAGAGGTGGGGGAAGAGAGGGGGAGACAGACAGATAGACACACACACAGACAGAGACACACACAGACAGACACACCCACACATACAAACACAGGGGGCGGGGAGAGAGAGAGAGAGAGAGAGAGAGAGAGGAGGCTGGTGGGTCAGAAGACAGGGCATTCGAGCTGAGGACAAAAGCAAGAAGGGGAATACACCAGAGAAGCTTCTAGAAGCTAGAAGCAGGGCAGCGATGTTGCCCTCCAGAAACAGGGTTGTGTGGCTCTGCTGAGGAGGTGATGTTAACCCAGAGGACCAACACTTCAACTCAGAAGTGTAAGCCGTGAGAGCATAGCATGATTTCAGATTGTTGGATTTGTGGTCTAGCTGTCATGAGTGGCTAAACCACTTGGCCAAGTGGACCAGTGAGAAGTGGGCCCAGCTCTGAGATTCTCCCTTGTCGGGGATTCAAGCTGGTGGCCAAAGTGCATGAGCTCCCCACAGACAGTTAAGCTCTGCCACAGAATGGATGACAGATGCCTTCCAGCTTCCATCCCCACTTCTGGAGCCCCCATGGCAGCCTTGGACTTCCCTGAGTTCACATGCAGGAAGCAGGGTGTGAGTCAACAGTTGTACTCCAAAGTCAGATCCAGGCCATCCCTACTGCACCCGTAGTCTCCGGGACTCCAAGTCACTGTGACCTGATGCAGCCTTCCAGAGGATGCAGCTCTAGGACAAGGTGTGTCTGTTTTTTTCTGGAAGTGTTTTTGTTTTGGTCTCTTGTAGCCCAGGCTGGACTTGAACTATTGATCTTACTCCCTCCAACTCCAAAGAGTTGATAGCACAGGCGTGTACTGCCACACCCAGTGTAGTGAGTTTGCTTTTTAATAAAACTTTATTGTGGTTGTAAAACACACATGCATCGACCTTACTTTTGTAGCTACCTTAAATTGTTGGGTGACAGTAGCCACATGAATGAGGAGCTACCATCTCCATCCGTTCATCCACAGAACGTTTTCCAGCTCTCCAGACTGAAATTGTCACCATTAAATACTGAAACCCCATCATCTTTTCCAGACCCTGAGACCTACCATCCCACTTTCTTTCTCTATGGACCTGACTCCTCCAGGGACCTCTCAAGGATTTCAGGTAGCCCATGCCAACCTTGAACTCGATATGTAACCAAGGGTGGTCTTGAATGTCTGATCTTCCTGCCTCTGCCTCTCCAGTGTTGAGATCACTGGAAGACATGATAGAGGCCATTTTATGTAGATAGCCTTGTGCATGGCCTTGTACATGCTAGACAAGGACTCTATCCACTGAGCCATGTCCCCAGCACGGCTTTTATCTTTTTGCAGCCTGGCTTGTTTTATTCGACAGGACTCCCTTTTGCTCCCTCATGCAGCAGCTCATGAGCTGACATCCGTTCTGATGGTACATCACTAGGTACTCAAGTGTTGGCATCGAAACATCGTCTTGCCGTATAGTTCCTTAATGTATACCTTCTATGCCTAGAGTTAATTCTTCTGATTTGCTTCTGTCTGTCAAGATAACCATCTGGCTCCCTTCTGCCTGTAATTTTCTGCATTCTTTCTTTTTCTGACCATTGACTTTTAACCTGTTTGTGTCTCTGTGTCTGAAGAGAATTTGGGGTCAGGGAGTGTGGTTTAGTAGTAAAGACTTGTCTAATGTGCACAAGGCCTAAGATTTGACATCAGCACAGATGATGGATAGGTAGGTAGATAGATAGATAGATAGATAGATAGATAGATAGATAGATAGATAG